CTTTGGCGCAAACTTTGCTCTTGAACACCTCCTAGCACTCAACAATGTTCAACTATTGGAATATGAAACGTGGCGTTTGTTTGAGCAACAAAAAAGACCCGACTCACAGTGAAACACCTCATTTGCTTGAATCATAAACAGTCCTTTAAGAGCCTAGCTGAGTATTTGTCACATCTATGCATGATGATTCAGATGTGATATCTGCTCTGAGAGTGTGTGGAGTCTCCACAGGAGCGGACTAACCGGGACTCAGATGTGTGTGTTCCACGTGTGTCATGCGCCACCTTTTGGACACTGCGGGAATCACCTCCAGAAATCCTTCCACCCGCAAAAAAATCAGATGACTAGTCAGAGATTAAATCAGAGGATTTGGGCAACAACCTTCTGCCTTTAAATGATGTCGAAATGTCTTAGCAGTCAAATAGTTTCCTTCAAAATCTTGGGCTGAACTGTTTCTGCATTCAGAAGAAAAATACATTCATAGAATATTCTCATCCTGGTATTTATTGCCAGACTTTAACGGATGACTTTGGTCGCAGCAGAGCATGTTCCAGTGTGTGTGGGCTAGTTCTTAAAACATTAATCTAGCCTACTGTTTGGAGATAACTGTCTGTTATGGCTTCCTCTTTAGAGCTAAGATTGTGGAGCATAAAGCCGGCATAAAGAGCAAAAGACAGTCCAACTTGTTGGGGAGTAAAGCAGACATATTTGCATACCCTGTGAGTCTTTGATGCATCTTGAAAATTCAAGTCTAGCCCATAAATATTTTAAAAGGAGAGTGCATGAAAATCAACATTTTTGTTACATTAAATTAACATGTGTTCTCCTCCTGTTGTGCATGGTTAATTAGAGAACACCATTCAGTCAGTGAGGATGAAGGGGGTGAGGTGGGGGCTTTCTTTGATTACAGTGCAGCCAGAGCAGGTTTCAAAAGGTGTGCAGCAGTATATTCTCAGGAATACACTGATATGTATTACTCACAAGGAGTCACAATTATCTACACTCAAGTAGAAGATTTGAAAAAAAAAATGCTCTAAAGTTTCTAGCATTATAAACATTTTGAGACATGGGATGCTCCCCTAATACAGTAACCCTCATTTCAGGTCCCATATTCAGCATACACATGTGTAAATTACACACTGTGATGCAGTTTTATTATATTATTTATGGAAATATAAATGTTTGTGGATGTCATTATAACAAATTGTTCTAATTTTACAAAGCATTCAGAACAGGTTCATGATATATTTGTGACAACACCGAATAACTGTAATCATATACTCATGTGCTATTTCTGTTAAAGTATATACATCCAGTCATCCAGTAAATACTTACTTTATATCATACTGTAAGATTGTTACAAGCCTTCTTCTTTATAAATATATACATCTCCAAATTGTTTATTATAAAATTTAAACTCAACCATATGCTGTAAGGACCTGCACAATATATACAATAACAACATTAATTCAATTAAAAGGAAGGAAACCTTCAATTTGGTCATTCATCTTTATATAATATGGTGTTATTTGTCCTGATTTTGTGGTTCATTTTTTTGCACCTGTAAAAATGACCCTTTGTTAACTTATTGTTATTGAGATAAATCGTTATATAATTTGTATATTGTCTGCTTCTTGTGCAAAACTATGAGGAGTGTAACTGTGACTCTATGCCCTTTCCATTCATGACATGCACCACTGACATGGTCCAGTTATAAACAATCGAGATCCACATATTCAATACAACTAAGTCATTATGGAATGCCAAGTTATGTAATTAAATCAAACACTATTTGCATACATGCAAATGGTCTCTCTCCCAATTGGACTTGCAAAGTGGGACGCTCTGTTCTCATTAGTTGACCCAAATCTCTTACTTGTAACTCTGGATTTCATCAAAGTTTAGTCAGGATCTAATATTTCCTTTCAAGTTAACAGAGAAGCAGTGATTAATCATGTTGAAATAAGGAGTACGACACGCCAATTCTAATTATATACTTATCAGGCACACTATCACACATAAAGAGCCAACACTACTACAAATATCAGCTCTGGACTGAGAGTAAGTACACACAAAAAAATGTTTTTAGAGCTTTTCTAACAGTGTCAGTGTGTGATTTTTTGTTCCTCTTCAGCAACCTTTGTGTTATAGATAGATAGATAGATAGATAGATAGATAGATAGATAATTAAGAGTATTTCATCTTGACACGTCTTGTATATTTATGGCTGAGAAAGAGCATGCACTGATGAACCTAAAAAATAAGAACTGATGCATCGCTATGGACCGAAATGCATATGCAACCTTTTCATTTCAGTTGTTGCATGTAGTTAATTTCACACTGATCTGTGCGTGTGTCTGGTGCGTGTGTGCCTGTGTGTGTGTGTGTGTGTGTGTGTGTGTTGTGTGTGTGAGCTGCTAGATTAAAGAGGAGGCCCAAGGGCATTTAGTTCATTTACAAAGCAATTGCTTTTATGTACAAAAATCCCAATTCACTGTAGGTATTGTAAAATCCTTCCGTTTAAGGGACATGAGATTAATTCATTGTTTAATGTAACACAGCACCTTCTGAACACGACCTTAATCATTAATGATGAAGGAATTAGGTCTTCTCGCTGTTTGATATATTTAATCAGTAAACGTTTTAGTCAATATTTAATATTTTTTTTACTTTTTTGTTATTGCCCAAACTATTACAGCAGCTAAGTTTCAGTGGATTTGAAATAAAACAAACAAACACAAGAAGCATTGTTTTAGTTACTGAATGTTAGGTGAATGTGGAGCAGCATGTCTGTAATTCAGCCTTCTCTCTTTTTATAGCGTGCACGCACGCTGGAAAGAATATACAGTGATTCCTAACTCTTCAATTATTTAACAAATCACCATTCCATTTCTTACATATTAAAAAATGTACCGTATGGGGAGCCTGGAAATGATAAAACAGCATAAAATACTCTTTTGAAATCAAAGCACCTATTGCATGGGCTTCCTTGGTTTTGTATTTGTACAATCGGACTACAATCGGGATCCCCACAGCGTGCAAAGGAGGCGCCGGCTGTGTCTCCACTGTAGTCTTATCATGAGACACTCACCAATGGAACAATAATATTTATGTGATGGAAATAGGTATCACTGGGAATCAGTGTAGGATTTCTTTCTTTCTCTTCTCCTATCTGGGGAAAAAGTGTGAATATGTTACAAATGCAGTGTGCCGTGCAGTGAACAATATAGACCAGAGAACAAGGTCAGACTGCTCAGCACGGTCTCAGCAGACACTTCCTTTCAAGCATAGAGGGGGAAAAAAACCTGACATACAAAGAAGCAAAAGTCAAAGCTTTAACCTGACCGCTGTCTTTTTAATCAAATTTTAAACCTTTGACTCATGTGATTCAAAAGTAGACATTTTATTAACTGCTACTTTCTTATTATCTTATGTTTACTTCTACAAAAAAGATGTAACAAACATCCCTGTCAGGAAAGTGAGTCATATGTGTCTCATTTGAAAAAGCATTTCTGAAGCCAGTGAGTGTTTAGTAAAGGATTAATGCGGGAGGCCTTGATTGCGTTTAACAGAACAGGACCCAATTAGCATAATAGGCCCTCTTTCATTCTCTTTGAAGTCCAGAGCAGAGAATTACAAATGTATATGAACCAGCAGCCAAACGTCAATACATGGAAATCCCACAATCCTTAGTGGAATGTCCTGGGTGAATTAATTTTTGCAGGGGGAATGAAAAACATCCAATTTTTATTGCAACATAAGCACAACAGAGGATGTGATGGGTCTTCTTCTTGCCACCAGGGCCATCAGGTGCTGGGGGGCCTCTGAGGAGGAGGAGGAGGAGGCTGCTCAGGGAGGTGCAGCCTCCTCTATCAGGTGTTTTCAAAGCACACCATGATGCAGGCAAGGGAAACTGATTACTTTCCAATTAAAGATCAAGATGTCATTTGGGAAGAATCCAAACACAACAGCTAAGACAAGCAATGGAGGGCCATATATATCTTTCATATGTTTGGATCACATTTTGAATATAATTTAGTATTAATAGTCGCTTTAAAAAAAACATTTTCCTTATATTCTTTTCTTTTTGAATCAGAAGTTCATTCCTATGAATTTCTCAGAGGTTTCTCTGTACAATTGCAATGGAGACATAGTTCATGATTTAAAGATATGAATTCTGTACTTCAGAATCCAGAGTTATTAGTATCCACCTTCTTGCTTGAAAATACAAGGAATTAAAAATGCCCTTTTGAGCTGGAAAAAGCTTTGAACTTAAGAGATTTTCAAGAAGCCTCTCTCTCTCTCTTTTTTTGTATTGAAAGTTCACCTCCTTTGAGCATGCCATAGTTTGGTTCCTTTTTCAAATAATAGCATGAAGTTTAATGGGTCAAGGCAATCAATGGAGGAGTTCAAACAGAATCTTGGAGCTACGATGAGTGCACATTTTGTACTTTCTTCTTTGTACATGATTAGAATAATGATGCGCTGAATAAATACATCAGTGAGATATAGGAAGGAATAAAGGCTCTTTAAGGTAAAACGTGAAGAAGAAGTTGCTCTTTTCTGTCTAGTTTCTGAATCCAATAGAGAATAATAATCCCTTAATTTTAGGATAATTTAGTCAGCTGATGATTGCACGACTGAGATCAACTTTCTGGCTCATTGAGACGTTAGTTCAGCTGGGTGCCAGAGGCACGATCCTATGTCACTCTCTAAGCATGAGTAATAGAGGGAGGACGAAGTGTTAAGTGAAACATTTTGATCTTGGTGTTTAAGTGATTTTTTCTCCTTTTACTCTTCACTGGAGCAACAAATGATATGTTACTAGGAAAAAGTCATTATTAATGAAGAATGCAATGAGAACATTTAATCTAAATCAATCCAAAACACTTTTTATTACTAATGCAGTCAGAGAAAAGGAGTTTTATTTTAGCTTATTTTAAGTACCATTCAACAGCTACACATATTTGGTATATTAAAATGAAAAAAGACAAGCATGATAAAAGCAGATTTAGTTTTAATATCTTTAATATTTACATTTTTATAAATTTCCATTGTGCAACATTCGCCAGTCACACAGAAAATATGTTAAAGGTTATTTTCATCCTGATGTAAGCAAAAATAAAACTCTTCTGGGCAAGCTAAAAGGAGACTGGCAGTGCTACAGGTACATACAGATGATAGTTCAAGTGGTTTGGTGTAAGAATATTATCTGAGTTTTTGACAAAAATACTACCATCATGATGCTTTAGTACCTACGTCTGTACCTGACAAAACAAAGAGACAAACACAAACTAGCTCCCAGATGAACATACTGCAAGGAAAAGCCTTTCATTCATACCTTGAAAACAGTGTACAATCAAAGTGCAATGACATGTAGAAAATATATTTTTATTACTATGAGATTTACATTTGTTAGACAATGCCATAGTTAATAAGCACAGCAGCTCCCGTCTTAATGTCCTGTTGCTTTAAGAAACTAGAAACACGCGATGCTGTCAATGCTGCTCGAGCGTCAGAGAGCAGCTTAGAAGTTTAGTTCAGTTTGTGTACTGCTGAGTGGAAGTAAAAGCAAAATCCTGTTTCTTGTAGAATCCAGTTGTTGTCAGGTTTTTTTTTGTCATTGTAGGATAGCACCTCAGTGTCCAGAAATTGCTTGAGCTGATAAAGGATTAAAGAGAAAGACAGAGTTAGAACAAAAAGCAGCAAAATTCATCAAAGCAAAAACTGTTTTCCAGATTTTTTTTTTCACTTTTCTTTGTTTAAGTCCAGCGTTATTTAAGAAAGAAGATAAATAAAGTTGTGTTCATAGTATCAAGGCTCTTATTGTCCTTTAAGAGTGTGCTACTGTCCATGCAGCATTAATGTGTTCATTACTAATCTTAGAGTTATTCTTGACAAAATGAATTGCTTCTGTGTACATATAGAGCCCATCCGGTCAAAACATTTCTATTTAAACATCTGCCATGCAAAAGCTCGGTGTATTTGATGGTGCAAATTCTACTGGTTTTGTGAAGAGTTATTCTGACACACTGGAAAATACAATTCTAAAGTTCTGTAATGTCATATAAATCCTGTGGGTTTAGCTTGTTTTTCCTTCTGATCTTTCCCTATGGACACAAAAGGGTTAATGGCAGAGCAAGAAACTAACACCTCGGCCCATCTCTGACAGCCGACCTCAACATGCGACGAGAACGCCACAGAAAAGAAAGTGTGGGGAAAAAGTCTCACCCACAGCACAATAGTGAGCATGCAGAGACACAAGTTCTGTAGGAATGAGATCCCTTATATAGTAGTTAACACATTCAAGTCATGCAACTCTGACAAGGAGATATTTCATGCTTTTGCTTCCTCTGACACGACTAAAAAGCAACAACAACTGCCTAAAAGGAGATGTATACATTTTCTAGATTTTTTAGATTTGACAGTGGAAAGAAAAGTAATACTGGAGCGAGAGAGAGAGAGAGAGAGAGAGGGGAATGACATGTTGGAAATAGCCACAGGTCAGACTCAAACTTGGGCTACTTGCTTGGAGGACTAGAGCCTATTACATTAGGGGGGTGACCTAACCACGAGTCATCCTGTGCTGCACTTTTTTAAAATGTTTTGTTGTACATTTTATTTGACACTTGCTTGGCAATGGAGATTATCAGGTCGCATTAAAAGAATTCAGAAATAACTTTTAGAAACCAAAGTATGGCTAATGGAAGCATTTTTTTTAATGAGGAAAAAATGACACCTTCTTTCTGCGTTTACAGTAACAACAGTAATATCTTCTTTTTTTTTTTTTTTACTCATCTCTGCCAGGCTACAGATGGGGAGCTAATTGGTGCTGAGGAATGCAGCTGTGCTGAATACTGAACTGTCAAGGTGCTAAATCAAAAGGTGTCTCTTTTGTTAATTATACACAATGCTACAAACAGTCTTGTTTGTTGAAGCCTTTTCTTCCCTCAACCATCCATAAATATTTTGGCAGCGGTACAAAAAGAAAAAAAAAACAATTTACAGACAATTATCACAGTGGGATGAGCAGACTGCCTGCAGATGTTTGTTTGGATAATAATGGGAGCAGAGGCAGGGCTTCCCTAACCTGTTTCCTTCAATCACAGCAGAGTAGAGAGCATGCAGGGGGGCGCAGGAGCCCCCGTGTTACAGAGGATTAGTGAGGCCTTGAAAAAATTAGCACCATTAAACATGCAGTTAGGCCTTACTTTATCTCTTGTATTAGACAAACGTGTAGTGAATTCCGTTGCTTAGAGGAGAGGGAGGCGCCACAGACACAGCAGATACAGGAGGAAGAGGAGGAGGAGGAGGAGGAGGTGGAGGTGGAGGAGGGGGTGGGGGAGGAGGGATGGGGAGGTTAGCCTGTGGAGGAACTACGGAGGAGCGGACAACAGACAGAGAAGGAGAAAACAAGAGCGGTTGTTAGTGAAAAAACCCACCACTTTAAACATTTCAACGGTTAATATTTTGTAGATCATTTCTCAGCACAAAAGAAAAAAAAAAACGCTTTTAGATATTCCAGATTTATAACTTCAAAACACCAAAATATTTCACAATTAGGAAAAAAAAAGATGAAAAATTAACAACGACCCTTTAATATAAACTGTGAGTGCTGCATATTCCTGCCCGTGTTCCAGTTCTTATTGAAGTCTCTCATGCATAATACGGTGAAAAAGACACTTCTTTTAATTCAGGGGTTTGAAAGTGCACCAGCGTACCTTCCTTCAACACCAAAGGGAAAGAGAGGCAGTGATTCAGTCTCTAGTGACAACATGCCACCAGTTATATTCTCTGACATTTGTCAGTGCTGGAAATAATGTTATAATTGTTGATTTTGCCTCACTGTGCATATTAAGCTTCCACACGCGCTGACAGCTTGAGTGTTACCGTGTGTGACAGATATATGTGCGTGTGTGTGTGTGTGTGTGTATGTGTGTGTGTGTGAGGTAGACAGACTGACAACCTGCTGCAGCTACAGTGAAAATGAACTTGCCTCTCTGCTGTAGAGTATGAAAGAGATGAAAAGTGAGCGCAGCGTCTTTTATGCAGGTTCAGAGCTACGTTCAAAGCAGCAGCAGAGGTATGCAGAAGGAGAGTGGAGTTTGACTGGGTCATTGATCAGCACACAAAACGGCCTCATCAAGCGATTCCTCCCCTGTCTGAAAGATTCTACATTTGCAATTAGAGGCTATCTGCACTCCTAAGAAGGAATAATGTTCAGTTATTAGAAAATGAACAGCCTTATTGCTTGGCTCTGCACCTTACGCCCTTCTCATCTCCACTACATCAATCCAGGACTTTCCCGATAATCCCTTCTTAAACCAAAAGATGCCCATTTGAAGCTGGGAGGAAATTTACAGAAACTGGCACTGCTGGTACACTTTTTTTTTCCCATTAACATGGCAGACACAGTAATAACCTCTGCCAGTGTTTCTGTGGAGAACATATTTTTACACTCTTATATAAATCAAAGCTGTACAAACCCACAATATCCAACAGGCTCAAAGAGATGAAAAATAATTTCATCCTATAGAAAATGACAGACCTGTGACCAGCTTGCTCTTGAGCGAAGCCTCTGAGGCGAGAGCGTAGGACATGGTGATGATCCTTTCCTGCTCCTGCAGAGCTGAGTCAAGGGCCACCAGCCCCACATCTGGCTTGTCCACAGGCACTGTAGCTGCAAGGTTCTGCACACTGTCACATGCACAAAGACATAAAGCACCAAGTTAAGGCAACATGATATGCAATGGTAATAATGTGAAAATGCCTTGAATGCTCTGTTGGCTTTCTCTTGGAATGTAATGATAAACCTGAGTCCAGTTCCAATTAGGGTGCTGGGAAATTTAAACTGAATGAATGAGGGCTTGAACCTCATTAGTGTGTATCTGGTTGTTTTACTACAAGGCCTTCTTAAAACCCCAGAATCAGTCATTTATCAGCAGCACAGAAGAATTTCATTTTTTTACCTGGACTTTGCCAAAATGTTCTTTATGCGCTCCACCTTGCGATGGCGTTCCTCCACCTCCTGTGGACTGAGAGGCTCCTCAGGCTCTGAATCCACATAGCGCTCAGGTATCAACACTTTCTGAGGCTTGGAAAGCTGCACAAAACAGACATGGTGTGTTTTTACATCCTAGTTGCTTCTCTTCATCCTTGACACTGAGTTTCAGAGAAAAAAATCCATCTATACAATTACACAGCTAATGGATTCAAAGGTAGACTATATCAAATATTTTGAATGATCTCTAAACAACAAGAAGCTAAACTCTTTAGCTTCTTGTTTGTAACAGCGGATAATATTTGTTCTTACAATACAGTAATGACAATGCAGCTGAATGTAGGAGCTAATAGGAAATTTCCATAAGCATGTGATAGCATCCATAGTTTACAAAATGTTTAATCTTGTATTAAGTTGTAATACATGTCTGGCTGCTTTCACTCTTTCAATGCTTTTTCTGTGTGAGGTTTACTTGTACTGCACCCTACAAGTAAGGGATGTGCTGATGTGATGATACAATGACCTTGTATCATCAGTGTGAAGTCACTTGAACAAAACAGGGAAAAAAAAGTTCATTTGGTCGTATAAAATCTTTATTGAACTTTCCTGTCAACACACATCTTTTTCATTTCTTTTTTTTGAGCTAACCTCATCATGGCTTTCTTCGCTGAGATAGAAAATAACTCACCTCTTTCTTCAGGTCCAGGTCATAGTCTAGTGGTTCCAGGTCAGGCTCATGCACAGGAGGGCTTGTAACTGTTGAGCGGAAGGTCAGCCATTCGTCAGAGTGCGAGCGCCATCTCTCTTTGTGCTCGGGGGGTCTTTCCTCCCCTTGAATGCTCCTTACTGCCTGTGCCTCCTCTCCCTGAACAGCCCTCTCCAGCAACTGCAGGTCAAACTCCTGCTCTCTCTTCCACTAGACAATAAAGAAGAGGAAAAAAGTTCTGAAAAACATGTCACAGAATACTGCCGTCAAGTTGTGTTGATCATCATCAGTGACTCGTATCACTTTGTTCACACATACATTTATGTGACCAGTCTAACTCTAATTGTTACAAGCTGCAGAGAGAACGTGTGTGTACAGGTGTGTGTGTGTGTGTGTGTGTGTGTACAAGTGTGTTTGAACAGGTGTGTGTGTGTGTACAGGTGTGGAAAATGGGAGAGCATGCATGCTTTCAGATCACAGCATGCTGCATTTCTCTGCTTTGTGATAAAGAAGACGGAACAATAACATCGACACAAACAGGAGGGATCTATTCACGCATACTGATGACAGTTTCACCAAACATGACTGTATCATTCTAATATTATAAAAAACATGGGAATAGGTGTTCATTAGAAAATAATGTTTATTTGCAAACATTCACATTTGTAACATTTGTCTCACAACTAACAGTTAATTAGCAGATTATAAAAAAACACTGAGCAAACACTCTGCTTTGATATGAAATGGATGAACACATTTGTGTTACCAAAATCAAAGAGTTCCTATTACAAAGACTCAGGGAGCCACTGAAACTCTCTATACATGATACTTTATCTGTATCTAAAGAAAACATTACAGCAATAAAAAGTAATGATGATTAGGTGTCAGTGAATAGGCTTGAATATGCATTGCACGGTGCTAAATGTTTTGGTCAGTAGAAAATAAGAAGGCACTTTCTCTCTCGAACAAACACACACAAACACACAAACACACACACACATACTGTAACCAACTGAATGGCCTTAAATAAAGAAGAGCAGGCATTAATATCTAAATCAGGAGAGAAAACACATATGAACAGATACATTCACAGAGCACAAGACAGTGGTGTAGAGTAGAACACAGCATGCCAGTATGTTGGAAATATTCTGACAGTGATAGCAACCACAGCCATGAAATGAAGAGACCAGTTAGGATGGATGAGAATGAATATACCAAGAAGTGTTAGTGTCTTCAAGAGGGGATAATGAAAACTCCTGAACATGAGTGAATATTAGCTGTCAAAGGCTTAAAGGCCCGTGTCTGAGGTTATATGTGTTATAAGATTGGTAGAAAGGACAGGTTTTGTCAAAATGAAATGCAAAGAAGTTATCCATATTCAAAGTAATTTTAATCTTTCCCACTTCAGAATAAAACTTTTTTTGACAATTACATACGGTAAGTACTGTTTTGTGCTGAAGTTAAGTGCTATGTGAAGAGCAGGGACAGTTATCCACTTATCTATGAAAAGCCTTTTTCAGAGAAAACATTTTGACATGTGACAGGAGAAAGAAGCACAGGAATAAAAATAAAAAGAATGGTGGCTAATTTCCTGATGCTAGTTTTAACAATTGTGCTTTCATGCTTTGACAAGTCAAATGTCTGCAGTGGAAAAGGCCGACTCAAGTCCTTAAACATCAAGCATGAAATACACACAGTTAGAGGCACACGGTGAATAACCACACTGCACTCATTTAGTCCTAACAACTGCTGTAGAGAAAAGACAGACTAAAGGCATGCATGACTACTGAAGAACGCCACTCTTGGTTTCGTTGTCGTCATGCATGAAAGGGTAAGGTCTAATATCGTTCTAGTGACATACTGATCCGATGTCTGCTGAAAGCGGGCGTGAGGATGAGGAGGAGGGGCGTGGCGAAGAAGGAGAGGCGTGTCGGTCTCCGTGACTCAGGGTGCGTTTGCGCTGGCGGACAAGAGCCTTCTGGTGCCTCTTCATCCTCTCCAGTTGCTCATCAGCGCTCATCTTCCCCCTCTGCTGCTGCTGCGCTGGGTCCTCAGAGTACAGACGCTCCAAGGCACTTTTTGGTCTCTCCTGAGAGGAGTGGGAGGAAAGAGAGTTGATAACACGAGCAAAAGGTGCAGCAAAAGGCAAAGATGGGGAGGAAAATCAAAATAGATCTCTGATATAAGGTGAAAGCACAGTCAGAGGGGGAGAGGGATGGAAAGGGGAAACAAATCTGTTTTGTTTTTTTTAATTAAAGAAACATCTAAGAGTTAAAAATCCCAATTTTGTTCTACCTGAGCATTCCTCATGTCTTTATTAAAAGAAATATCATAGACGGTTATAGGTTATAATAATTATCATTTTAATTCTTGACTCTACAATTGGAGAACATTTATAGTTCTCACATCAAAATAAGTCAGAAGATGAAAGATTGTAAATAAGGAAATCATTTCTAGTGAGAAAGTAAAAAATAGATTGACTCAGTACATCAACATTTTAGCCATGTTTTATAATTAACAATTATTATTATTAATAATAATAATAATAATAATAATAATAATAATAATAATATATCAACATATTCTGGCAATGCAGCAATAATATTTATATAAATTATAAATTCCAACCATGAAACAAAATCCCTCACTGACCTCTCTACCTGTGAGCACTTCTAGCTGTGTTTAAGAGCAGCTAAAAGATTCAGTGTTAGCTTCAATGACCAGTTTCAATCTTGAATTATGAGGCACATTAAATCACTAACACAACTTGAACTAAACACTGGTGAGTTCTGACTTTTGATCTAACTTTACTATCAGAGTCTTCGTTAATATGAGTCTCACCTTTACGCCGACAGCTGAGGCCGATCTTCGGAGGGTCACGTATGAAGAGATGCTTGAACTGATTTAGTCTTAGTGAGGAACCAGCCACTCCTGAGGGGAAGCCACACACATTCATAAAAGAACTGCAAAAGGACACTTTTTTTCCATCAGTCAGGATTAATCACATTTTTAATCCCATGTATGAAATGACAATTATTTGCATTAAAATGTAATTTTTTAGGCTTTTATTTTAAATTTGTGTTCTGTCTTAAGCTAAGAGTAATTTACTTGCTATCTGAATTCAAAACCTTTTATTCTGAAATAAAGAAAGAACCTTCTGGTAGATTCAAGGTTACTTCTACTACTACTTACTGACTTAATAAATATGTTACAGCCAAATCAAAATGATTTACTGTCTCTATTGTCAGTTTACCTCTGCTGGGTAATGTCTGGTAACCCTCAGGTCCAGATGATGTTACTACACTGATGTGGCTGGAGCCGTCTCCAGCACCCATAAGCTCTGGATCGCTCAGGAAAGGTCTAAGTTCCACCTGAGTCACATGGACAAACATAAGCAACAGGCAAAGAAATGTAGACATTCAAGCAGCAAACACAAACAGACACCGCATGTACTGTACCTTACTGTCTCCATTAGTGTACTGGCCAACCTCTCTGTCCCTTTTGCGTTCATCCGACTGTCGTTTGAGGCCGCGTACGGAGGTGTGTCTGATGACCCGTTGTCTCTCGCGGCAGGGGGGGCACAGCGGGGGGATTCTCATCTGGACTGTAGAGCTGAGGTAGAGGAGGTCTGGGAGGCACATCATCCTCACCCCTGCACATAGAACATCTGTTAACTAGTGATTAAAATGCAAAGTGACAAACAGACATCTACACCTCATTCTCTAGATTTCACCTCATTTGTCTTTGTTAAAAGTTCCCTTTGGGCCTCCAGAGTTTCTGTGTTTGACTCTGAATGTTAACATAAAAAATTAATTATTTAAAATGTGATGATTCCCATTTTTCTCATTGTTATACGTCCTTGGAAATGCAATATCTTTGTGCCGGTTAATTCTCACAATTTGAAAACTGGAACTTAACAAATAACTTAAAAATAGACGAAAGTTTGAAAGACATATGATTTAATCTAATTTATCAATTAATTTGGGGGAGGGTAAATGGAGAAAAATTCCCAAAAGAGAAAAGAAGACTTAATTCTCTCGGGCATCGTGGGACATTTAACACCAATCAATGTCAGATAAGCTTCTGGGATGCTTATACGCATGTTTTTCAATAGCAAGATGACCTTCATTCAGTAAGAACCAGCAGAATATTACTTTTATTACAGGGGTCACTCACCCAGTTAAGCCCACTTGTGATAGTTGCAGAGTGTTGTAAGGGCTGCTGGCTGGGGCTGGAGAACACGGTGGGGGTGTGGATACTGGGGCTGAGGTGGGGGCTGTGCTGCGACAATCTCATCTCCATAGCAGACGGGCTCCCAGACACAGAAGGCACTGATGATGCCGAAACTGAAGGCACAAATTTCCTCTCTGGGGAATATGGTGTATATGCACATGTAAAATGAATACACAACCACGCTGTAAGACGGCGCTTTGTTTCCCATGTGAAATGTTCAAGGCATTAGTAGTGTGTTTGTGATTAAGAGCTTTAATGGTTATAGTAGCGTGAGGATGTGGCGTGTAATGCCTTTGTAGTGAAAGCTATATTTGTTGTACTTATGAAAACTGCAGGTTGCACGCAACTAACCTGGGTTGGTAACAGAGGAGACAGTGACTTTGTAGTTGGCTTTACTGGTACTGAGACCTGCAATCACATCCTCGATCCTCCACAGCTCTTTTCTGATCTGGATTTTCTCTTGCTGCACATACAGAAGCACACACACACACACACAGACAAACATAAAGGCACACTTCTTTACACTGTAAAATGACAAGCAAAGCCAGACAGTATATGACTAATTAAAAGAGATCAATTTGGCCAAAATATAGCTTTTAATTTCAGGCTAACATGAGAAGCAAACATCATAGAATTCTGTTCTTGACTGTATGTACAGTTTAAATGTAGTCAGTTAAAAAGTATTAAACACACTCATCTCTGAAAGTGAGCGGAAGTCACTGAGCCACAGACCTGACAGAGATCACTGCGGGTCATCCGTCCCTGCAGTGCTGACTTCAACCAGTCCACATCTCTCTCCAGCCGGCTGTAATCGTTCCACGCGTTTTCCATCTCCTGCAAAACAACACAGTACACACTCAGATGTTGCCATGTACAAGTAGAGACACATTTTACACATGAGATGCAGGAGGGAGAAGTAGAGAGCATGTGTATCGATTTATAATTATCTGATTATGCTTGATCACTTGGTAGTCGAGTGTTTAGAAACACAAATCTGTTGTTGCCATTCTTCAGACAGTCCAATAAAACCTAGTTAAGGGATTCAAAAAGTGTCTGAATGCAACCACTGTGATTGGGAATGTCTTTGATACTGAGAGCCGTTGTTTACTGTTGCATCATCTTGTGGTTTATTTGTCAAATGTTCTTTTGAAACTCAAATTTTCTCATTTGATTACATTATTTTAAATATCAACAAACATTGACTGGTGAAGAGATGTGCTTTTGGTTTCTTTGTAGCCTTCGGGTTTATCCCTGAACACTCATTTTGATACTAACTGTCAACCTGAAACAGTGTACCAGTTAAAAAAAACATTGAAAGTGAACATCTAAAAATAGAGATGTTTTTAACCGAAACATAACACAAGTTGTAGCATACACAACTGTGGATAGTGACTTTAACAAAGAAGTAAAAGGAGCTGTTGTGTCTTACTGTAGAAACTTGGGATATTTCAGCCCTGATGTGCACCACATCCTCCTGCAATAATTTCTGCTGATAGGCAATCTTCTCGGCATGTGCCGGCTGAGCTCTGTATTGCTCCATCTGCTGGTGGGAAATATCCAGCACAGACTCCAGCTTGTCCTACATAGGGACATAAAAGGGTAGGCAAGTTTATTTATGGGGAACCACTCATACATAAAGCAATTCAAAGTGCTTTACAGGAAGACGTTCATAACACAAGAAGCATTTACAGTTTAACACCCACAAACAAATGAATGCTGTATATGTCAATAAAAAGATCTAAGTTATATACATGTTAAAAACAAAAACCTTGTCTTCTTTTAAAGTGCGTATTCTGGCCTCCAGCTCCTGTAGAATCTTGTCTTGTTCACAAAGTCGACTTAATTTCACCTAAAGAAGAAGAAACATGTCGACATAAAAGATTGCATACCCTCTCCTCGCCATCTTACTAGCTCCACATTTCCACAGAGTGTCGACATATTAGAATAACATAACAGAAAAGGGATCAAATATTGACTGGGTTTATGATAGACTGTATCTAGTGTTTTGCGCAATATTTTCTTTGTTCAACTGCATCCACAACAAGCAGCCAGAAAAGATGAATTGATCGTCTACTGTTGTCTTTGCTGTCTGTAAATATGTCAATAAGGCTCGTCTATGTGCAATGCCCGAGGATTTTCCTCTCATCAGCACAGTGAGAAATATCAAAAGCCTCTATACTGTCTAGTTTGGGGAGAGATCTGGTAATGCCCATTATGAGTAATCATAATCAAAAATCCATATTTTCACATTCACTTTTTGGAGAAAAGCGTGTTGATTGAGAGTGACAGATTTGTTTTCCCACAAATGGGTTATGTGTTTATGAAAACAACATGAGATTGCCTAGTTCACAGTCTTTCTCACACACAGTCTTTTTTCTCAGATCTATTTATCATTCTGTTCAATTAATTATTAAGTTGTTTTTTATTTTGCTGCCATATATTGTTATTTTTAATTGCATGAAATATTCATTGTTCAGACAAATTTACTGGCAATTTCTTATAAATTGTTAAAGGGGAACAATGCAAATGATGAAAAGCCAGGACATCCATCCTATTTACCTCTATTCAGCAGAAAACAAAGAGTGAGAAAAACACTATCAGGCAAATCAAACTGAAAAATTTAACAGCTCATCATCTAAAACTCCCATTACATGTATTTTTCCCTTTAAATTGCAAGGGAGGAAAATAAGAGCTACACTCAGGCCCTCACTTTGCAGAGCAGATGGGTGTCCCCTAAGTGTTGCAATGTACATACGTTCCTTCCCTCTGCAACCTCTGTTTACCACAACTTAAGAACACACACACACACACACACACACACACACACACACACACACACACACACACACACACACACACACACACACACACACACACACACACACACACACACACACACACACACACACACACACACACACACACACACACACACACACACACACACACACACACACACACACACACACACACACACACACACACACACACACACACACACTGCTTTTTTTGTAGTGGATTGTAAGAAGTCAGAGATGGAGATCTTAAAGAAAAGAAAGAGATGCTTACAGACTGTGTCTTTCTATCCTGAGAACAGAATGATTCACTTACATCTGCATCACTTTCTGCTATTTTCACAGGCCTCGATGGTCTTTCTGTTTTGAAACTCTCACGTCCTGTAACCTGGAATTTAAAATCGCCAAACATAAAACAAAATGTTTACTATGTGCAATCACACTTTTTTTTTAACTAGTAATAAATAAACATCAGTAACTGTATCGAGTTCCAACAGAGATCAAGACAGTTGTTTCAATCAAGCTGGATGGATTGAGAAAAGACAATGAGGAAAAGTGTAAAAATAAACAACATATCCAATAAAAGCATTAGCTTCAGCAGATATAAAAAATAAGAAGGAAGATGAGCAAAACATGTATGCAGAAAGAACTTCTGTGTCTTTGTGTTTGGGAAACCCATTAGTTTATATTGTAAAGTTTTGGGTTAATGTAGACTCTTATTTTTGTATTTCTGCATCAAAAAAGCTTCAGTCAGCTGGATGAATCTTAAAATATTGGTTATTAAGGCGTCTTGTTTCATGCTGGTGTGGTAAGGCAGTAAAAATTCACAAGTTGACTTCGTAAAAAAGTTTTCAGACGGTTTTTAGCAAACTGGAAAATACCAAATTTTAAGTAAAAAAAAAAACCTCTTAGTTTTTATTACTATTATATTTTATTACTTTGCCAATTGAATGTAAGTGCAATACTAAGTTTCTATAGCGCTCAGTCAAGACTATAATGTGTGTCTGCAAGTCACCAAAATGAAACGAGAGGCCCTTAAACATGACTTGTCATTAGATTACCGGTATATTTGTAAGAGCACCATTGGGTCATCACTTATTCTCAAACAAGCAAAACAAAAACTAAATGAAAAATGTTCAAAACGTTCAATGCGTACAGAAATGATTAACAACATGCAAGGAAGCCCTCTTGCAAAACAGCTTCCTTTCCATCATCTCAAATTTCATAGCAGTCTTGGATTATCACACATGACTGGATGACTTGATCAAGATGTCCATGTGTGATATCCTGCATAACTCTCAGGGATGCATAACATTCCTTTTGAAAAGCAGTGAAATTGTTTATTTTTCACTTTGTATGCACACCATCCTTACATTCCAAGAGTACCCAAAACTCGGAGAGGAGTTTTCAAACACATTGTGTACTGAAACGATCATCGGGTCAATACTTTGGATCTGTTGTGACACAGGAAATGGAGAGGTGTTATAGGTTGGCATCATTGGATGACCCCCCTCCATTCCAAAACACAAGTCAGATTTCTAATCAATGTATTGTGGTGTTAAACATACAAAACAATTAGCTTAAAAGGCTGCACAGATATTAATGGAATATGTGCCAATAGCTAGCTCAATGCAACAGACCTCTTTAAAACAGCACAACGGACCTTCACCAGAATACTTTGAGTTCATAACACAGTTTATGTAAAAAAAAAAAGAGCAATGTCTTTAGAAAATCTACATTCCCGATAAGGAGAAGCTTAACATCAACATGTGTTATCCTCATAGACTGTTATTAAAAAACCATAACCATAACCACTATGTCACCTATTTGTTAAAGGACAAGTGTTTTTGGGCATTGAGCTTGCATTTTTGTGCTAACCATCTTGATTCAAGTGAGCCACATGTGACCCAATTTGGACAAGATGGTGAATAATAAGCAGCAACCTCTAGTGTTGGAAAATGAAGCAAATTTTGAGGTGAAAAAAAAAACTGCAGTTTCTTGAGAATACACTTGAGCCTGTGGCACCTAATGCCCCGGAATTCCATTAACAACCAACAGCCTGGTACAAAACAGATTACGGTCCAAATAGTTCATGTCTTTATCGGCACACGCTGTACAGGTTGTGAAATGTTTTATAACTCATTTGTTTTGACTTTCTGAAAAATTAAGAGTTATGCATAATTAAGGGCATGACTGATCTGACTGCAAGCAGGCCCGATGTATCTGATTGCCAGGAGGCTTAAGGCCTGCCTCAGCTACACCTCTTTCCCTGTTGACCGACACTTAGGTTGAGACATCATTTCCAATATGGCGGCTGCCATCGTTAGGCTCTTAAACTGCGCTTCAGAAACCAGTGCATGACGTCACTGGCACTTCATCCATATTTGATACAGTAGATTACAAAGTGAGCATCCTTCTGTGCCGTTCAAAAGAACCAACGATTGAGACCACACAGTTGACAGAAAAGTGTTACCAAAGAAAAAGGCATTCTCTACGTAACCAGATGCCCCCTGCCAGTTGTTGTCATTAATCCGATTGATTAGGGCTTAAATGACATCATACAGTAATTTAATAAATACACAGTGAAAAAAAGAAGGTTAAAGAACATGCCAACAGATTAAATATAACGTAGCTATAGCAAATAGTAGCATCGGAAGTGTAAGTAAAAACACGTCTTTTAGGTGGTTTGAGCACAGGATTTAAATGAAACAACAGCATTAGCCTTCTGCATCTTTATGCACAGTGCTATCGTACAAGAAGAAAGCCAAATACAATTTTATCTTCTGTCAACTTGTTTTTGTTAGATTTATCATACTCCTGTATCAATGCATAAAATGCTTCCTCTTATAAAATAAATAACTTTTATAGTAAGAAGACGTTTGAACGACATGATTCCATCATAAAGAGACAGTAGAAAGCAAGCACAGAACATCAAAAAGACAGGGAAAAGGGGAAACATGGAGACAGCAGCAGAAGAAGTAGATCACAGGAGGAAGATGGAGAGAAGAAAATGGTAAAAAAGTGATGTATTTCTTTGGGGCCCACCTTCAGATCTAGATACTCCAGGTCCTTCTTCAGTTGTATGTATGTATCATCAGCCTTTAAATGAGCAGTGGAGAGACAAATCATTTGAATGGAAGCTACAAAGATAATGGGTGACCAGATGACACTAGGCCTTTATCTGTTGCTTCCCAAGCTTGATGACATTTTTAATTAGCCTGGTATCATATCAGTTTTCTTCTACCTTTGTGTTTTTATTTATGGTTAGTAAATCCAAACTTTAATTTAGTAATCATTTAAAGATCACATATTATTTCAAGTCTCAGAGCTAAAACATGTCGGTGAAGTTTCTTGCCAAAATTCAACTGTGTTTTTTTATCATGCCTATAAACCCCTGTATTTCAGCCCTGCTCAGAACAGGCTGTTTCTGTGTCTGTAGCTTTAAATGCAAATGAGCTGTGTTTGACACCCCCTCTCTGGAAGGGCTTGGGTGGCTTGGGCTTTCTTGCACCATGCCCAATTATTTACAGGAGAAGGCAGACTCAGAGGGCAGAACAAACACCTAGCTGTGGGAGTGTCACCCACCTGGAGGAGGGGTTACTACCCTTTGTGATGTCGCAAAGGGAAAATCTCCAGACAGCCTGTTTGAGCACACATTTTCTGAAAAGTGGAGCAGGCAAAAGACGAACAAGATGTACTTTTCTCATAATTCAAAGTTGTATTTTTACTTGCACTGTTGTTAATTTACTGCTCTGTGTGCCTTTGAATTGCCCCCCGGGGACAAATAAAGTTTTTTGAATTGAATTGAATAATTGAAGGGGTTTGTAGACAGGCTAGGGAAATATATTGTTGTGTATTTTGAATAATATGTGACCTTTAAGTGCGTAACTTGTTCAACATCTTATGTCCGACCTCATAAACAACCTGAATAACACATGTCCTGTACCTGAAGTGTGGTCAAACTGAGTGTTTATGTGCAAGGTTAAACATCGATCAAAGGTAAGAATAAAATGCAAGCACAGTCTACAATCAACATGCTCCAAAAATGGTATGTTACTTTTGATAAACAAAATTAACCAGTTTTTGGAAGCTCTTTCAAGTTTTTAACAAGTTTGATGAGTGACACTGACAATGCAAGACACTAACGCTTAGCTATAAGGCAATCTGGACAGTCTGAAGTGCAACACAGACCATGCCAAATGGTTGAATAAACGAAACAACCAAGCCAAACTCATAGACGGCACACTACTATGAATGACATGGATTAAATGTAAGGGATTGGCTGGGGAGAGCGGGACCATTATGCACTGGCAGGGGTTGCAGAGTGCTGCAAAGGAGGTTAGGGAGGTACAAATGCCCCTGACCTGCATGACGGGGCCCAGAATGCCGTTGTGCTGGTGTCGCTGCAGGTGAGCGAACGCATCACTGGGGCTATGCACACCAGCCATCTTGGCCTGGTGCCTCCGAAGCTGAATGAGGAGCAGAGTCAGCTCTTCCGGCTGTAGCCAAGCCCGAGGTTTAGGGGCAGAAAGCGCAGAGGGATGAGAGAAAATACTTAAGAACCATATGGGCAGAACAGGAACTGAGAAAGCTATTAGGATGAGAGGCCAGTATGCCATTCCTTCATAAATGTCCAAGTATAGTAAGAGCTTAAGATGTTAAAACTTGAGCTGCATAAGGGAGACTGGGAAGATTATTTATTGTGCTCTCAGGTACCGTCAAAAGATAAGGATTATAAGGTACCGTCAAAAGATAAGGATTATAACAACTAATAACACTTATAAAATATCAATGGAATACAAATGTCAACAGTTTTTTTTTTTTGGTTTCAAAAAGTCAGTTGCCTCATTTGGGTCAAGATTTAAATTCTTGAAACTGTCACAGAGAGGACATGAATCAAATGTTGGATTGAGTTATTTCTGTCCATTCTTACAAAGAGTAGTTGATACCAAGGGTAAGACTGTAAGTAAAAGGGACGTACCGTTTTTCCATGCAAGCTGGGTGCACTGACAGTGTGTGTGATGTAGCCCATGGCTGGCATAGACCTTCTCTCAATTTGGGAAGTCTGCAAAGAAACAAATTCATCAGCTTGTTATCACAGCTCTAATAAAGTCAAATCAAACAGAATGTCTAATTCACCAAGTGCTCTTCAATAGATAGACCACTCTATTGCACTGGTACAAAGTTGAAACATTGCCTCCAAGTCTGCTAACAAATTTGACTACACAGCATATTTATTTTTCATCTATCCCTTTCTCCCTTTCATCGCTCCTTCTCTCACTTGAAACAAGGTGTGCCCCGAGTTTCAGACGCTGCCGGGGCTTAGAAAATTTGACGTTTTTGCTTAACACACAGAATTAGTAAAAAACCAGGCCCACTACAGAACCTTAAAAGGACACAAACAACAAGAGATTTAATTAACTACACATAAATTATACTGAACCTGCTTTCTTAAAATAACATTTGTTTGCTACCAGCAAGAGAAGCACTGTAAGCCATTCCCTCTGAGATTCCCATGCCACTATTTTTTTTGCTGTATAATAGGTTTTTTATTTAAATGCGAGATCAGAAGAAAGAGACCGCTGCTGATGTTTGAGATAGAGTCGAGATGTTTATAGGGTGCTGAGGAGCCCTGGGCAAATTGGATTAGCTGCTAATAAAACATACTTCTTAATGATATTCCACAGAGGTATACACATCGCTTTTACTTAAGCGCGCTCCAGTCGGAGAGAGAGCCTCAGAGATGCTGGGTGCACCAAAACTAAGTACACCCCAGATTGACTTTAGTTCCCATAAACATCCCCTCTCTTGAACACAGTTACTTTGGCTCCTTTTGTTCAAACAGATTCTTCTTTAAAATCTTTTCCATAATTGTGACTCATTCTTTTAATGATTATAATTAGTGTCTTGACACTGGGGTGACTGATGGAGGAAACAGAGCTACAGCAACACTTTGTTAACTTCTGTAAGGTCAAAGGATTGGTTTTGAGGCTTGTGTGTGTTGGCCAATGTGGCGATGGTATGGAGGGAGAGTGGTTCACATGTGGAGGGTGTGGTTGGCAGACAGCGCAGGGTGTGGATGACAGGACGGCCCCTCGCTCTGTCTCCTGCGGCAGTGGTGGTGTTGTCTGAGCGCTACCATGGTTTGGGGAACGCCGGAGAAGCAAGCTTTCGCTGACACATGGTTACCCCACCTGGGGAGCGATCCTGGGTGTGGACTGTGTGAATCTGTAAGTGATTCACATGACTATAAAAAATGTGTGTGCGCTGAGAAGTCTGAGCTTTCTCATACTCCTCATGCTAATCTTCCCATGGTGTCCTTGTGAGCTAACAACATCCCTCAAGTTAACATCAATAGATAGCCTACCCCATATCCTACGGGCAAAGCTACCGTGAGAATGAGACCTTTGTCTTTGGTTCACTACAAGTGAATGATCTATTTAACCTCGATCTCATGGCAATGACACGCTTCTGACTTTTACTGTGTTTCTGAATGACAGTGTTACAGCACCAGTGACTGACTAACTGAACATAAAGTCATCAAGGGGTGGGACTTCTATTCCTTTTGTGTATCCTTTTATCCTGTGTGATGTGATGTAACAATAATACCACCAAATAATCCTGAAAATATGAATAAATAGACTGTTTGGTATTTTAAACAAAAACGGGTCTTTCAAATAGTAACATTTTCATTTCTAATTTATTGCCTTCATCATCGTCGATTCGTTGGCCCTCTAGCTACGCTTCAAGTCATCCCTATAATCCATGAAACTGGGTAGCTGCATTTATGACATTAGTCCTACAGTTAAATAATACCCCAAGCCTTTCTCCTTATTGTTCTCTTATTGCACATATAGACAAGTCATTTCTGGACTTTGCTTTATGTTTTGTAATCAAGCTATAATAGATAATGATTCCAACTAAATTAACATCTCAGCTGACATGAAACACAAAAGGAATTGATTTAAACGGGTTGTTATTAGTGTAACATTCCTCTGTGTATGTAAGATTGGGTATAATTGAAGCAGTTTAAGTGAAAATATTTACATGTACAGCTACGTTTAATACTCTCCATTTCAAAGTTTCAATTGGAATACTGCTTTATATTTTATGGTAAAGTTGTTGTAGTTGTTCTATTTTAAGAGAGGCATTGTTTATGAAATGTACCTACGGTTCTTAAAATGTCCCCGAGTATGTTTCCTACCTGAGATAGTTGGGCACAAAAATGGCCAGGGGAGCTGGATCTTGTGCTGTCCCCAGGTAACACTTCATCCAGCGGCCGGACTGTACGCCTGTCTGAGGGAGTGTGTGGCCTGCGAGGGGACAGGGGTTTGAAGGACGGTAGTGACGGTGGGACCTCGCACGGGGACGGAGGGACGGAGATGGAACGTGGCATCTCCACAGTTACTCTAAAAGATGAAGAGTCTGTGAAATTGGGGCCGGTGTAAATAGGAGCGGTGGGGCTGCCGTGACGGAACTGCTGCCGCTGCTGCCACTCATACAGCTGCCACACCATCCCCTCCTTGGTGGCCATACGCTCATCAGTGGACATGCGGAAGTGGCTGAGCCGATCATGGGCGTACTTGTAGTCACTGGGCAAGTTGAATGTTGCAGGAGGAGAGCTGCTGCCGGATGGGAGACGGGGAGACTTTGGCAATGAATGATAGGTTGCATCTGCTGTGCTGGCTTTGGGCTTTAAAGGAGGAGTCCGCCGAGGGAGGTTGAACTCAGCAGAGGGAGCACTGAGACAGAAAAACACATAAGGACCTCTCTACACAAAAGATAATAAATTAGAAATAACCATTAAACAATTTAAATAAACTGCTAGTCCTAACATGAGCCACTAGAGGGAGGTGTTTACTCAAAGGTTATTTAATCTGATGTTGTTGTTTCATACTGACTGTTTTTACTCCAACTGACCTCTTCGGTGGGTCTCCTTTCTGGACTTTAACCCACTGCTCCACCTGAGCCAGCGTATTCTTCCTCTGCACATGTTTTTCCGAGTCTTCTTGCAAAACAAACCCCTTCTGATAGACAAGATTTCCATTCTGTTGAGGCGGCAGGGCCACCTGGATCACAGTTTGCTGTCCGCTCTTGTGGAGGACACCATCAAGAGAGTCTGGAGAGAGTCTCTCTGCTCTTTCCTCGGAGGCCAAATGGCTGGGCCTGCCCTGGATCTCAATTCCGTACCTCACCTCGTCCCCATGAGATGGATGGACACCATTATCGCGAGGTTCCTCTTTGTCTGTCCTGCGATGGCTTTCAGGATGAGATGAGTGCTGGCTGATGTGGACGTGGTTTGTCTGTGGGACGGCATGCTGTACTGCACTTTTTTGCTTCTCTACCTCTCTGTGAAAGAGTGACACAAGATGATTAATTGTATCATCAAAATTCTGCCTGTAAAAATGTACATATCATGTAGTGTTAAAGTACTCAATTTTTCAAGTCTTACACCCAACTGCACTCACACAGTTATTTAGCGTTCATCTAATGTCCCCTCTCCCTGTATATTATGATGAAGTGCAGCAATTCTAAAATAAGCGATTACACGGCATGTGGGATGGATTAAAAAAAACATGATAATGGATGTTCAAATAAACTGGAAGCGTCTTTTCCTAAAAAGTAATTACATTTTCTAAAACACTGGTACATATGGTACAAATTCATTCCTTGGTTTCTCTTTCTCTCTCGTTGGGAGTTTTTCCAATAACTTAACACCCTTTTGACTTTATTTATTTCCACTTTTTTCAAGTGAGTGAAAAGAAATAGAGGAGAGCCTGTGGAACAACTACTCATAGAACAAAATGACAGATGCTTTGTCATAATCAGGGAGCTTCGCTGATCAATGTGTTACCTTGATAAGAATTTAAATTCATAAGGTGCCACATTTAAATCCATTAATTATTTTCCAACTCAGGGGAATATGAAATGATAGTCTAATTGTCAAAGCCTAATTCAAAGCCTCATTGATCATTTTACACACTTCATAATCTTAAATGAGATTTATGTCTGGTGAAATATGACGTCAGGAACAGTAGGACTGCCTCACACAGAACTCAGAAGTTGAACATTAGTGTTATCTTCATAATAATGTCATTAGAGCAAAACATTTCACTGACTCATTGAAATCACTAAAACCACCTCTATTGACTCAAGTAGGCCTCTAGGTGGCATAATTGCACAGACTAGTCAAACGCTGCTGTTCAGTCAACCAATTGGTGGATTGCAGGTTGCGATGTACAGATACAGTATTAGAGTATTAGACTGTATTATAGAGATCAGATTATAGACTGTTATGCAGAATATTTCTGTTAGCTATTGTAAATATTGTGAAGATTTTTTTTTAATTAAACATTTTGCTTTCAGAACTGCTGCAGTCTCTTGCATGTGGCTAGGGCTTAACAATTAATAGGATTGAATAAGACTCATGCACTGTACACAAACCCCCAATGTAACACACAAACACACACACACACACACACACACACACACACACACACACACACACAGAAAAAAACTGCACACATCCTAATGTTCCTGAGCAGACGGGCAGGGTTGGACCTGCTGTGGAAGACAATTCATGCTGTTAAAATAGCAGCAAGAAAAATTACCAACTTTGAGTGATGAAATTGATGTTGAACAATTTACACTTGCAGTTCAGCACTGTAGTTGATACACACAAACCTGTACAGTGAGTACACTTCTGGAAAAAAATGATAATAAAACTGTTTAATTTGTTTTAATTCTACAGAACCTTGGTTCTTTAATGACAGTATCTAAAGACATATCCAGTCAGAGTCTGCTGCTCTAGCTTGAAGGCCAGATGTTGGGATTATTAGAAGTCCAACCAATAAGAGAGGTGAATGTTACTCTGGATAGCAGAGACCAACCTCTTTATAGTGTGACTCTGCTGCATCAGCGCAGCCTGGTTCATGGCCCGGATCCAGCCATTCATGTCCTCCTGTGTGTCCGCACTGAAGAAATATGTCCGCATCCCGCAGTGTTCTGCCTGTGAGCCAATCACAGAGTTCTTATTGTAAATGTAGGAGCGCATTCCCGTATGGCTCGCCTATCAAAGAGAGAGATAAAGAGGAAGGGAGAGAGGACAGATTTGAAAACTTCTTTCAGTGCATGGGAAAAAGCTGACAAATAGGTTGATGAATGGAAAACTTTACTCTCTTGTTTACTGAGTCTGACAGCTGTCAGCACAGTGAGGACAAAGTTTACAGCAACATTTAACTGAGGAAGAAAAGAGGAGGGAGGACAGTCATCCAGCAAAACCAATGTGAACATTGTGCTGTTTCTGGCCATCGAAAAAGGAATAATTCATGTTATATCTTCAAACTGCTTCAAAAAAAAGAAAAAGCTTCAGCAAAATATAGACAGTATATATATGTTCTTAGCTGATAGAGCCAGGAAAGAAACTGCAGCATACAACACAGAAAAAACAAACAGGCAATTATTGGCAGTTGTTTGCATTTTAGTCAGGCAAATCTGATTCACACATCCAGCTGAGCTCGAGTGAAGGAGCAGTCAGCACATTTTTGTCCAGTCTCACTGTTATTTAGTAATTTATTTTCTGTTGTTTCTGTCCCTATATTGTTTTTCCCTGCCAAAATATGGTGATCTACTTCAAAAACCTTTACAAAGGTGCAAAGAATAAAGTAGTAATGTTTAATTACCACTGTTTTGTCCATCATGACTGATTCATGTCAAATATAGTTTTATTTGATGCAAATTTTTACTTCTTCTTACACTATATTACACAATTAACTAAATAATATCCATATCATACGTACCCTCCTGAATATATCTGCAAAACAGTATAATGAAAACATGCTGTGTAAACATGTCGTTTAGTCAAGTGAAAAGGAGGGAGCTTTAAACCATGTGTGTAATTCACTTCCAACCTTTCCAACTTATTCCACAAGTTTAGGATCATAAGTGTCATGATACCATCATAAGACCCCTAACAAGCCAATCAAGTCTGAAGGCAGTGAAGTGTATACATCAAATCAACAAAGATAACGTATTCTTTATGGAGGAAACCCCACAGTGCATAGTAACCCCAGCAACAGACCCACTAAAACATGTTTATAAATCAATACCAATAACAGATGTGTGTCAGGGGGTAAACTGCTGATGGATCAAACACCCACAAAAAAAAGCAATGAAATCAGATCCTTTTCGTTCAATGACGATGAGAATGTGAAAAGTGATATGTAGCTTGACAGGACAAATACCAGAGCAACTGAGCACTTATGTCAAACCCAATGAGTCACCTGGGAACTTCAGTATCACATTCTAATACAGCCGTGGGCTAATATGAAAGTATCTGAACATTACACAAATGTTTTTTCTCGTTAGATTTGAAATGAAACAATGACATTAAAACTAAGTTAGTGTTGACTTTTACTTTGATTTATGTACACCCACAATGGGTAAATAGTGTAGGTATTGTAGCCTTGTTGTTTTTTACATTGTAGAAATAATGGAAAGACTTTTTGATAAAATGCTGATGTGCAGTTCTTCTGTTTCACCTCAAACCCATTGGCTGGAGTAAAGAGCCAAAAAAAACAAACGTGTCACTGCCCAGACACCTATTGGTTTCACTATGTTCTAAACTAAACCTCAACATTTCCTTACCTAAAATGAACAGCAACATTTTTGACTTAAAGCTAACGGCAGACCTATGCGCTCTGGCATTGTCCAAAGATGTCTGCACTGCTACAACTTCGATGCACATTTCTCAAAATGTGCATTCGGCAGCAGCTGACATGATATGAAACAAAATGAGCTGAGGATGGCGTTTCACTGATGAGGCCAGAGTGAAATCAAATACCTAGTCATGCAAGACAGAAAGCCTGTGTGATTCAGGACGGTCTCCCACAGAGAACAGTACTCACTCCGCCCGCGCACACACACCGGGTCACAATGGAAGGCAATTGACCAACAGGGAATGAGAGAAACACAGTGGCTTGAGCAAAAATAAGAAAACAGAAAACAACAGGAAGTTACAGCCGATCAGTGCAGACTCAGTCAGAAAGAGCAGAAACTGAGATTAGATTAAGTGTCACTTTCTCAGGTCTGTTATTTAAACTGTAGTTTTTGATTCACCCGACATATCAGCAGCTCTAACAGTCTGAAACATCTCATTGTTCAACAACACCTGACATCTACTAAGCTGTTGTCATGCTTGCTTAGCACCTCAGGAACAGTAATGAAACCTGCTCTTTAAAGCATGATGGCTCAGAGAGTGCTGAAGGGAATAGGGATCGCTTTAAATACAGGGTGGCACAGCAGCAGAGCCCGGCTCGTTTCACCTCACCTTACATTGACTCCCCAGCAAGTGGTGGGAGGAGACGCAGAAAAGGCTGAATGTATAATTAATATTTCCCAGCAGCACAATTATCATACAAAATCCTTTTGTATGTAATATGATCATAAAAACCCAGGAGATCCGTACCATTCATACTCACACAGAAATACACTCAACACACACAGAATCCAAGAACAAAAGCCAGAGTACAAAGGAGCTGAAAGGATTGCAACAGAATGCCCTGAAGCTGCAGTGGTGCATAAAACATTCAGGCACTATTGTCGTTTGCAACAAGCTCTGTGTTTCCACAAAGGAGGAGCTGGATAATGTTAACACCCTTGCTGCTACCCCCCCAAAAAAAACCCATTGCTGTCCTCTAGCAGATTTCACAGAAGGAAAAAGAAAAGATTGTGCCGCATGCAAGAGAAAGTTCTGCCGCACACCCTTGAATAAAAATGGTACTATTACCACATGCTGGCTGCCTCTCCCAGGGTCTGTATAATAAGAAAATTATCTGCTATACAGATTAGACAGACAGAAAGAACAAACCTGCTGCACTCTGCATGTTATGTTGACACTGTTCTGCTGCAGCCTCCTTAGCACACAAGTGGGGCTCCCAAACATTGTGAGAAAAACAAAAATCCCTTCTACCTCAGCTTGCAATAGATGAATAAAATCAGACCATCTACAAATCTACTTTACCTGAAATAGCCATGTTAATATAAAAGCATTATCTCTGACCAGAATACATTCAGGATTGAAGCCATCCACACAACATCAATCCACTGGGTTTATGTAGAAATACGTTTGATGACCGTGAGGTAGAACTCCAAGCAACTAGACTAGACAGAAATAATGTGTAATTGAATACAAAAGCATCCATTTCTTGCACAGATGTTCAGACACTTTTGAGTGGCTGTGCAAAACAACCAAAAGATAATGATTTCAAACAGTTTAAAAAAAAAAAAAAAAAAGTCTAGACAAACAAGTAAAGAAAGAAAAAGAAGAGAAGGGTAAACAAAACTTCCAGTGTATGAGAATAACAAAACATTGTAGTAATGATTATTCTCAGGAACAAGTAATAAGTCATGAACATGTCCTGTTGACTTCACATGGAGGTGATAACGTCTTTTATAGATCTGATTCTGTGCCACTCCAGTGTTACCTTGAAGGCGTATTTGCGGTTTATGTGGTCATCAGGCTCAACTGGTGCAATGACGTAACTGGGAAGAGGGATACTTCCAAGCACCGTCTCCTCTCGGCTGTCTGTGAACGCAGCAAACACGACACACGGTAATTCATTACAGGAATCCAAAACAACAAACGCTAATTCTGCCAATACTTTTTTACGATGTTTACGAGAGGCTGCAGATTTATAAACAGCAGGGACATTAGTCAGGCATTATTCATGTGTGACTCTTGTCTGGACGAGACCATGTGGCAGCATGTGGCAAGAGGTGGCATGTGCGCTATCTATTATTCAGTATGATTAATGGAGGAGAGGAAGAAGATGCTCTGGTAGCACAAGCACAGATTGCATCCCATAACATAACATTCAAGGTAATAAGGAAGGAGAAGTTGGTGGAAGAGATAGCAGGATGTGTCATACATCTAATTATAGGCTGTAATGAATCAAGACATGTATCTTTCCTTTGATGAGGTCGTCAAAGATATTACGATCAAGATCAGTTTTCACAGCAAAGTCTGGCCAAGTGCACTTTCCATAGACTCACCTTTGTAGTAAAACAAGCAGTAGTCTGACAAAACAAACCACTTCCTTTTCCACAGTCGCATTCCAGAGCTGTCCTGGAGGTGAAAGGGGAAAAGCAACACACAGTATGTTTAAAAATCCTCCTGGCAGGAACACAGTTTAATTCACAGTTTAATTAAAAAAAGTGTAGTTTGGGTATACACTGCTCGTAAGCAGTACACTAAGCTCCATCCCTCACTGCTCCTCTTGCTACTCGGGAGCAAGTGGGTGGGCTTGGGGGCTTTGTGCATGCCATTAAAACAATAATTAAGTTTCATTTTAGATCATTCGTTTTATTGAAGTATTCAGCAAAAAGCTGCAGCCTCCACATTTAACTCAGTAACTCTGCTTTTTGACTTACCTAATTACTTACTGATGTTATGTGCTCTCACGAGACCCTTGAACCCAGATTAAAAGGGATCGCAAGGGCAGTCAGAGAATTGAAAATGTTTAACAGCTAATAAAGCATCAGCTTGTACACATAGGTACACCTGTAGTTTATCAACTGTAATCTCAATTCTGCAAAGTCAGTTGTATCTGATCATGCAGCTACTCAAACATAGTTTCTACAATAAGACACATTGTAACATGTGTTGAGTAAAATCAGAACCCCTGCTCACCTGTTTGTAGAGCCAGCCCCGCACCACCACAGGGATGTTGAGGTTTCTTTTAATAGAATGATCCCTCTTGCCAAAACTGTGAACTTTCCCCGGACCTCTTGATCCCTGAAAAAAGGGAAGACCAAGAGAGTTCATTTTGAGCTGGCTTTGCTGAATCCATGTAAACAAATTTCCCTGGTTTACCAAAGGTACGCACAACAAATTAATATAATAGAGTAAATATATATATGAGTATTGTGTATTCGATGGTAGATCCATTGAAGGTGAACATGGATAAATGAAAGTTGAACTTATCGGTTTGTACAAGAAAAATACACAAAAAAGTCTTCTGATGCAAGCAAGGCTATATAGTCTATTGAAATTGTTTTAAATTAAAATTGTATTTTCTATGATTTACGATTACTTTTTTGTGTGTCTTTTTAAGAATGGTGGGGGGCTAATCATGTCAATTAAGAGGATAAGAGGTATGACCTTTAAAACAGTAAGAAAGCCTTCTTTCCTGTGGAAGTGTACATCTATTTATAATCAGGCATATTTTTAGAAAAATATCAGATTTCTAGATCTTACATACCCGTAAGTGCTGGGTTTTTAAGTGTAAAATTATGTATACTCAAGTGATAAAAGTGACAATTTTAAGTTGTGAAAATGAAAAACACAAGAGTGAGTCACATAAACAATTCAAAGAGACAAAGTCTGAGTAAGAACTGAATCTATAAAATGTCCACAATGTGTCCAAAATGTCCTTCACAGGCTTCAAAGCCCACTGTTAAATCTTTGTGTTGCTCGTTTTGTCAGTTTAAAACACAAACATATTGATTGTACTTAAAATGAGAACAAAGGAGGCAAACTTAGGGTTATAATCTCTAAATGTTTAGCATTCTACTAAGAAAATTGTATGAATATTTTTTTTTTTTTACAGTATTATCAGAATTTCAGCCAAATATTACACAGAGCAACTCATTCATATTGTTTTTCTATAAAAGATTTACATTTGTATAAGCAATGTTGTGTGCAAGAATGTTAAAAAAAAAACATTCAATAGTTGAAAATAGCCCTTTTTGTACAGATGTGTTAAAATGATTCCAGATTAGCATCCGTGACAACTGGGACATGTAAACTGTCTTTGAGTGGCTTCCAGGTGTCAACAAGCAGTTTGAGATTCTCAGTGAATGTGTTACTGTACACTGCTACTCTGGTGAGCAAACTTTCCATCATCACTCTGAACAATAGTCAGTCTATCACAAAGATACACACCCTACACCACACCTCTGTCCAGTCCCACAGGATGTGTATTTGAGTTTAAACACACTTTTCAGCAAGAGATAATGTCATCTGGAGTTAATTCAATCAATATATCAACATGAAAATTACAGTTACTTAGAGAGCTCTTAAAGAAAATTTCCACTAAGTGTGAAACATATTTACAAATCATTGTTTTTTTTATGGAAAACTTTATCATATAAGATAGGCTTGACAAAAGTATGAAGGCTCTGAGAGAATACACAACACACTGATACTCACCTTTGACCCTGATGTGCCATCCACTGCTGCTGCGGTCACAACCTTGGAGGAGTCTGTGACCATGCTAGTGGATCTCTGATTGGCCGCTAACTTGGACATACGGGCTTCTAACCTGCAGTTGAAAAAGGCAGCGAAGGAGAGGATCAGTGATACACAAAGGATGAGAAGCATTGGATACTGATAAGTCTTTGTCTCCTGTCAAACACAGGCATGCAGGGAAACAGAGCACAGCCCTGTGCTGAGCTTTCACATATTAAGGATATGACGATTTCCTGACACCCCCACGCGACCTGTCACAACCAATGGTTTTAGTGGATGTGTTGATAGTGTAAGCCTTATGTTCCAAACACTTCAGTGACACTTGGTCTGACACACACACACCTCAGAAGACAAATCTTGTACACACAGCTAACAAGCAAAGCAACCAAAAAGAACCTAAGCCAGGTGCTAAAGCCATATGGACACACACACACACACACACACACAAAGCAAATCCTTGGGGTTTAATGACAGGCTGGCATCCAATGAAGATTTATTTGAATGCAGACACCAAAACATCATCCAGAGGGTAAGCTCGTATTGTTGGAAGATAACATCTGGAATACTAACTCTTGCATATCTACCAAAGTGCCTTTTTTGTATGAATGCAAAGACACACAGTTGTAATACCACACTTTCTTTAACTCCAGTTATAAATACAATACCGCAGAACACTGTACCAATAACCATCAGTGTGTTAATATTAGTACCTCATACATTCAAACTCCTACAGTTTAATGGGATTATGTTTTACACAAATCCAACCTTTCGCAAAAATTCAGTTCACATTGATGGGATTTCTGCAAAATATCCATCAGATGTGGAAAATTATACACGTTACTCAATGAAACACAATAAGCAACAACTAACAAACCAATACATTAAAAACATAAAGCATAAAATATAAATACAATATAGTCCTTAGAAAAGATAAAATAATAATTAGCAGACACATGATGCCTTTTCAAAGCGTTGCATCATAAACTTCCCAACAGATATCTTGGTTAAAGGGAGGACAGTCTTTTTCTGAAATATACAACAATGAGATAACAAGGCCAGGCTTTAATAACCACAACTCACTGGGGACATAAACACTGTGCAATAACTGATGAAGTGGACAGGGTTATACTTTTACAGGGGGTTAATAATATGACAGTGAACATAAGAAATATCAGTTATTTATGAAAATGAATATTTGTCTTTAACTTCATAATACTTGTGTTATTTAGGATGGGGGCATGTTGGCTCTGCATGTACAGTATAGATTTTTTTTTATCTCTTAGTATGCACCGCTACATTGTCAACAAATTATTTCAAGCTGCTGGAGCTCTTTGATTTGATTTGTCTTACGTGCTTAGAAGGAGATACATCATAGATAACGAGGAAACACTGGAGACAGCAAGGATGAATTTGATTAAAGTTTGTGCTATTTAAGTAATAACATGCAGATCCTGCAGATTTCCATTAAATCATGGTATACGTCCTTCTTCATCTCATTTGAAAGCTGCTCTGCAGGTTGCAAACATTTAGATTAAAACAAAGTCATGACCCTGGAACAGCCTTGACTTGAGCTGATAGCTCCTCTTCTTGGTTAACTAATACATGTTGCTTTTTTGAGGAGCGATTCAAAAATTAGGTCATTTTGATGAAACAAAGACATAATATTATATTGTGTTTAGATTTGCTAACATTGTGTTTTTTACTCATATTGTGTGTTGGACAACCTGCTGCTGTAACGCCACAATTTCCCAGTTTGGGATCAATAAAGTGATTCTATTCTATTCTATTCTACACTCCAGAATTCTACTGCACATCCTAAATCGTGATTTCCCAATTAAATATGTTTACCACAAAATTTCCACCATGCTATGGTGATTACGCACTATTTTACCACCTCTTCTTGTTTAACCTGATACAATCTTTAGATGCTGGCGATCCCAGAGACAGACTGTGGGTTACTGTGACCCCTCAATGTCGCCACCTCTGCACCCCTCCGAAAGACATGCCCCAAACCCCCCACCCATCAGCAATCAGGCTACCAAAAGCAAGAGGCCCAAAAAAGGAATGGCCACAGCCAAGCAGAGACTGGGAAAGATCCTCAATATCTGGTCAATGGTTCTGTAGCCCCTTGTCTTTAAGAAAAGATGAGCCCCTCCAGGACCCACATGAAAAAATGATACATAGCTCTAAAAAAACAATGTCAATCTTAATTGATAAAATCCCAACAGAAAAGGTCTACACACTCCAACCACCAGGCGTAAACAGTCAAACAATGTGACTCTTGTCTACAGTGTTTATTTAGATCATTATTTGCCAATAGTTCCTCTCCAGATGCTTTAAAATGGTATATCACTTCATAAGAAGGTTTACATGAGAGAAACCTCCACAACATTTTGAAAACTCTTCTGCAGCCAGTCTACAAGTAGAATAACATGCGACTCATACACAACTCTCCCTGACAAGAAGTGAAGGGAGAGGACAGAATAGGTGACACTGTGTGACCTGTCTCTCTTTACAACACTGCCACTGGACCCCCTGCATTGTTCAGCACAGCAGGGTTAAAAGCTGCACTAACCCTGTTGTTTTTACTGCTTTGTGTGCTGCACTACGCCAAAGGTTAGGAAAAGGAGATAAGAGAGAGATGTGTGTCAGAGACTACAGCCAAAGAAAATGCTGCTAGAACAAGGGGGCGAGAGAGAGAAAGAGAGAGAGAGAGAGTGAGAGCTAGAGAGAGAGGGGGAATACAGTAGAACAAAACTTACAGTATCTGCTTTCAAAGCCTGGACTGCAGCCAGGCTTTTTTTACAGGATGTTTCTGTTGTATCAAGGGGACTCTGCTGTTTTATGTGAGGCTTTCATACTGTTTACCACCTCTGTCATTGGAAGACTTCCCCAGGAGATTTGTTGTGGCATGAGGTGAAGAGGAGCGATATTTCACATTAAAGAAGTGCAGGAAGGGACACTAAGCTCCATCTCTCACTGCTCCTCTTGCTATGATGGAAATAAGGGCATATTTGACATTATTTAATCCTGTCAGGCTGTAGGTGAACACTAGGAGAGCTGACGAATTGATCAAAGTGTGGCAATCTATAGAAAAAGTCAAAGCCTTCAGACTAGCAAAGCAGAGGCTGATCGACCTCTCCATGGGCAAGGGCCTCCTAAAGCTCTTTTTTTCCTGCTCTGTCCTCAATTTGATACGGGTCTCAGGGGGACACACTGAGGTTCTCCATGCTTGGAAGGGAGCCAGTGATTCAGAGAAGAAACCAGCTTCCTTTTCAGATATCATTATACGCAGAAAGAATCCCACAACATCACCGTGACAGTTAACAGAAGCTACATTTTGTAGAAACAGTGAGGTCACGCCTGTGTTGCACACATTCAATACCAAGACTGCAGCATCTATACTCTACTACACTCTACAGCAGGGTTAAGAAAAGGGCGGAGAAGACGATAACAACAGTAAAGCATTCAAATAAAGAGAGGATGTTTTAGAATAAGAGGAATCCTCAAGATTCAGTAAACAGTGTGTGTGTGTGTGTACTGCAAAACATTATGGCTTGTGTTTAATAGAGTTTGAACTTAAAGTAACTTACCTTGTACAATTTATAATGTTACATCATTGACCTTCATATGCAAACTTAAAGGTCAAGGGTCACCTCAAAGCAAAAGCGGAAGAAACATGAAATATTATTTAAACAGTGTTTTCTCTGTGCATTTTAACTATTGGATGCAGACCTGGGCTCACTGATTCATATTTTCACACAATTTTAATACAGTCAGATTAATCTCAATCCATCAGCTACCCTTACATGACTTGGTGCTAATTTAGAGTTTAAAAAAGGAAAGGTAAATTATTTATAGATCAACATTCACACATGGAGCAATACAAAGTTCCTTACAGAGTTTAAAACAAATAATTTATAACACGAAGAGCATTCAAAGACAAGACATTAAGCAAATATAAGACTCTCAAAACTTTTATAACTTAAAAAAAGGTCATAAAGAAATATGACAGTATATATATATATATATATATATATATATATTAAAACACAAAATATCCTCAGATTGGGCAATAATCATAAGTTATCTGCTCTGCGTACCTACCAGTGTTATAGTGCTCTGAAGTCTCTGACTACAGAGTCTTACCTTCCCAACAGACTCAGCTCCTGGTCTTGCCTAATCGAAATGGATTCTGTGTAAAAATCCTGAGTTCTAGCCAATATGTACTCTTTAATATTATCTCTATTGCGATACTGAACAATGTTTTCTCATATCACATATTTTTCCCATATAGTGCAGTCCTAGTCTGAACTAAAGCTGCCTTTTGACCCCTCTCTTCTTACAGATAACTTTCTATAGAATTAGTTTAGAACTGAGCTCAAATAAGAACAATCCACAGAAGACTATACTGTAGTGTATAAACAAGTCATTACAGATGGTGTTTGAATGAATATTTCAAACCTGCTTTGGTACTGAAAATCAAATATTACATGCAGTTAGCACATTGAAAGGCTCTATTTCTGAGAGTATGCTTCCCATCTTTGATTTTTATATCTAAAAAAAAAAAAAGGACATGGCTAAAGACCGTGCCGGTCTTGCACATGCTGTTTAAGCTAAACTGTGTGTGGTTGAGCTCCTTCCATCTATATGTTGAACTTGTTTATAAAAGTGGATGCTGAAACATAGATGAGTGCTGTAGCTTTAACATTTAGTACAGACTCTGGGAAAGACAGTGTAAAGTTATTTATGTTGGAGTTTATATTTGCATTCTCCATACGCTTGTTTTTTTTTTTTTTTAACCTTGTCCTGCCTACATAATGACACCTTAGTCATTTGTTGTGAGAGGGGCACATCTGAGGCTATACTAATCTTAGCTCAAAGAGATTACGACTGGAATTTCAAAGTTAAAGAATCATCCTATCACTGTTAAAAATATAAGTAAGGCAACCATGTCCTAAAGCCCTCAAATCCACGGCTCAACAGAACTTAAAGAAGGATAATGGAGAGTTTCATACACTCAGATGAATCACAATTAGATTGCATTCTTCAACAGAAAGTGTTTTAATTGGTAAGAATGTGGCAGTCACATGCTTGTCTCTCAACCTGTTTCAGCCTATATTGGAGTCTGAGCTGTGCACCATCATCTTACACCACCCAGCTTATTATTTGATCAAACACCTGTTTCTTTATTTCATGCTCTATATCTGCCATTCAGCTTTGATGGTTTGACACGATGACATTCAGACAACAAATAAGAAACAGCAACAATAAAATAAACTGCCATGAATGACAATGAATAAAGTAGTAAATGTCAACACACAGCTGTGGCAACGTCATAAATCTCAGGGATTTATATTTAATTCAAATCTCATTCTTTAAAAGAAAAAAACTAAAAAATGCACTAAAGATTTGAGGAAATGCCATTAATGTTTAAGCCAGAATGAAACGATCTGACTTGCAATTTTAATATTCCAACTACATTTAGGAATACAACCATGATAGACCAGTAAAATAAAGCAAACTGGACGATAACTCGGCTGATTGATGAAGACAGTTTTGTGACCTAAATGTACTGTTAACACAATCAAAAGCATATGTGAGTGCCAGCTAATGTATTACCATAAATCCTGTTAAGGCAGTCATTTAAGGAATAATAATCCCCCCTCTTCCCCTTGTGATATGCTTCATCAGTGAGGGTGACAAGCTATTTACACGTCTATTTTCGGCCTCCAAAAGCATGACCTTGAACTAACCCACATATACATTTAAGCATGCATTATATGCATCATTTCTAGGACAGGGAAGCCCACTCACCTGTCCTGTAGAGTGTATTCTGTGTTTTCAGGGGAAATCTGCCCAGTAACAGGATGCCGGAACGATGTAGCCCTCAGGTTGTGGCTGTAAGACAGATGAGGACGCAAAACACAGAAGATGGAGAGACAACAAATCAGTATTACGCCGTATAAATCGCATTCCTGCCTGATCCCTTCCCAAAACAGCCATGTGTTAACTAAAAGCTGAGCTTACAATGAGGACCACAGTCATCTGTAAAGATATATGTTAGCTCTGCACTCGGGTCAGGAACCACAGCTCATATTCTCTTACTCAAAGTGTGAGGCTCAGCACTCTCCTTTAGCCAGCTCGCCAGGCTTTATTGATTTCAGTTGCATGGGGCCATTCATTGCTTTAACTAGAGCATGAACGTATGTTACTGCCACAAGAGAGAATAAGAAATAGATAAGTGGCTAGAGGTGCTGGTGTGACACTATATATTATCGTGCGCTGACTCTGTTTGCATTTGTGTTTTCTGCTGTATATCTGACAATCATTTACCAACCATTTACACAGATTGCATTGATGCACACAGTCTTTTAGGTATATTCAGGATTATTTAGTTGCCACTGTAACTCAGTGCTGCCCTCAGATTTTGCCTCAAATTTGTGACACATTCCTTGAGACGCTGCAGCTTTCTTCTTATTTTGTTTGCATACTGCTTTGGAACTTTATAACCTTCCTCTAGAGTCTTTGTAACATGTTTTATTATGGAACTATTTCCCATTTAGGCAACAGCTTTGCCAGTACCAGCAGCAATGGTCTGTGTGGAAACAGCTTCTTTTCAAATAATGAGGACAATAGATATCAAGTGCAGAGGTATTTGTCATATTCAGGCTGACTGAAAAACTGAGAGGAGAGTGACCCTTTGTGATAATGTGCTGAACTGCAACCCCTTTTCAAGCCTGGCTTCTGTTAGTTTTTTAATCTTTTTCTCTGAAAACCTTATCATTATCACCATCGTAAGCATTAAGACCATAACACTGTTTTTCAACAGAAGCTGTAGAATACTTTGCATCAGCTTGCAATGAAATCAAAGAGTAAATACTGATATGCAGAGGCTAGATTCATATGCTACTTCTCATAAATATAAAACGGCAGACAGATAAGAAACTTTCTAAGATAAACATGTTGACAGTAGTATCTCATCTGAAGTGCATCAAGGGTAAATAAATGACTATGTATCCAGCCATCAGAGATGAATCCTCTGAGGAGCAGCTGCAAAGCTTTAGAACGACATAAGGCGTAGAATGATGTAAACAGAGAGCGGGGGCCTCACTGCATCACCCTGCAGCAGAGGGTGGAGAGAGAAACGGAGTAGGGTGCAAAGATTTATGAGTTGACATTTCAGAAAAAAGTTCAGAGGGTGTGTTGAAAAGGAATGATGCTCAGTGATACTGTACACACAAAAACGAGCGCAAATATAAACAATCCATAAATCCTACCAAACATACATGCTATAACAAGGATCACTCATACATGACACACACACACACACACGCACTGTGCCAGGCATGTTCCTTGTAACTGTTCCTCATAATTTGCTGAGCTACACAGGGCACACACAGCTCCGCACCAGCATCCCCTGTTCATTAGGAATCTGCATTCTTTGAGGCTTTTGTTTTAGCCGCATTACTTCTGAACTATTTGTCATGGAATTTTTTTTTTTTTTGTTGCAGCATCTCCGCTTGGTTTACAAACTCTGCAGCACAGAGGCACTATTTGTTTGCACACAACTAGCTTTCATCAATGCCTGTGACAACATTGTCCCATAGGAGAAAATGAACTGCTGCAGAGGAGCTGTAGCACACTGTGCAGAGTAATAGATTGCTGTGAGTGTAACTCAGATGTAGACGATATAGACCTTCATGTAAGAGATCTGATTCTGTGTTTCGATTTGACATGAATCTTGGACGTTAACATACAATCCATTACTCACGGTGAAAAAGTTATTTTTTGCTTTATTTCCTTTAGCTAATTTATCTTCAAATTTAAAATAAGTATGATCAAAGACAAATTCAGACAAAAAGACACAGGTTTTAGTCTAGTTTACTCAAGTTTGTTAAACTACAGACATACACACTTTGATATAAGACATGAAAAAAAATGAAATCTTTACATATTGTTGAGCTTAATATGGTAGCAAAGAATGGAAGCGCAAGGTTGTAAATATCATTTTTGGTAGCATACATTGGCATTGCCTCCCACCAATTCCATGTATCAGGGCCCCAAAACACAAACCATCAAGTCAAGTAGAGTTTGTGCTTCCAATAAGCTGGTTAAGAAGAGAGAGGAAAAAATGAATCTCTGATTACAGAGAGCCTCAAGAGAGCTGCTCTCAATGTAGAACAATGTAAAGTTGAATTGTTACCACAATGTCAACAAGACACAGTTCAAACATAGCTGAGAAAAAAGGTGTCTGTCAGGTAAAAACCAAAAAAGGGACTCTAGCAGCCACGTGAACAAACTTTATCATCATTTATAGACCCTCTCGGCAGCAATGTGCGTAACCTGAATCGACTGGCAACTTGGTTTTGCTTCCAGCCAAAGCTTCTCCACAGAAAGGTGTGAAAACAGCATCAGTGAAGCTCAAATCACTTCTGTCCCTCAATGCTGCAACAGCTGTAGTCCACGCTTCATCGCTGGCATGCGTTACCCATTCTACTTTCAGCGAAAACAAGAGGCTCAGGCTAATCCCTGTCCAACACAAGGGCTAAGTCTTGGCAGCAGGCTAACAGGGGCAACGCTCTGTGGTTTACACACCTCGCTCTCGCTCTCTCTCTATCTCTATCGTTTCACAGAGATAGAAATACACTGAGGCTCAAAACTGTTCCACAACACAGACATCCAAGACATGGATGTCACAGTCTGCTAACTGTTTCAATCCCTTATCTATTAACACTCCCACCGCAAGAGGAAATTCCAGAAAATAAAAAGCGACTTACTATTCTCTGCTGTGTCACTGAAGACAGTGCTCACCTGCTGTCAGATAGTGAATCATCGTGAATCAGCTGCTGTACTCGCTGTGGTGCCTCAGGTCATGGAATTCCCTTCGGCATTGCCAGGGCAGGTGGAAGACGCAGAGTCTCTCCTGCAGCAGCTGGCATCCACAAAGAGCAGACTAAAGTGATGCCAGCGGGATGAGAGCGTGAGCGCTTTATCTTTGCTTTCTCCTGCTCAGGCGTGCTGTCAGAGAGTTTCACCCCACACTTCCTGAGTGGATGGTAGAGATCTAACTCCCTCCCATCAGTGGAATACCTCGGTTGCTTATCAGATCCTCCTCCCATTCCATTTTTTACTCTCCTCTCTCCACTACCTCACTCCCTCTTTCCAAGAATTGAAGTTGCTCTTCATTCCTATATTTCTTAAAAATAGTCAATAATGAAGCTTGTGTTGAAAGTGGCAAACTGTAACTCAATCAGAATGAAGTCTTGAAAAAAGTCAAATGGTCATTTTTACTCCTCATACTGTGCTCAATATGACACTGTCATCTCTTAGTGACAGCATCACAGCTCCATCGGTGAAGACAAAGTCTTTAATTGGCTTTCCTCAACCAGTAAAATAACCTAATTTGACCGAGCAAGTAATCCAAAATATACAATAGTAATCCAAAATATACAATCAAAATCATCTTTAAACCATCAAACAAACAGAACACCGTGGACAAACTCTCACTCTCCTGCAGCATTCACACCAGCTTTTGTTAAATATCTGCACAGCAGCACTTTCATTAGACATTTTTTTAAAAGATCACAACAACATTCATATTCAAAACAAGACAAAAAGTAATTTGAGTATCTCATCCAGGATCCAGAAATATACCACAGTTTGTCAAACAGATAATCCGTCTAACTTCTTGGGCCCCTTCAAGGGCACCTCAAGGTCGCCAGTGTTTACTTTTTGAACACTGGTTTAATAGTAACATTGACCTGTGACCTGCGCTACGAGGGAATTTAAACTAATCCTGAGGAATGTGGGATAGAGGAGCAGGTGGTACGAGCATACTGTAGGCCAGTTGTAAATATTGAATCTGAATGACATCCAAGCATCTATTACTTCAGGGTTTCAGCCCCTTCTGTTTGATGTCTCACCACATGTTAGACCTTAAATTCAGTGACATCTCTCTTTAGTTTTAATTTAGTGGGGAAAAAGCAATACAACTTCCTAAATACAAAAACAGCAACTTCTAAGGTAAGCAATTATTTCAGTGCTGTGAACACGAGCCAGAAGAGCCACTTGTCTCCATCTCTGCTGCCTTCATAATACGCATCACAGCATCAAGTTTGTGTCGGAAAAAAACAACTAAGTAGCAGAAGAGGAAAGAAGAAGAATGTGCCAATGAAAAAAAAAATGAACAGGAAATACTCCATTAAGAGTGGAAAATCAAAATCAATCTACATTATAACATATAAACATTTGTGTGTGTGTGTGTGTGTGTAATTTACATTCCACTGTTTTTTTCTGTATGAGTTGCAGATGCTATCATCATAACAACCGTTTATCCTATTAACCCCTGTTTATAAGGAATTTCAGTCAATGTTGAGGTGAAGATTAAGACACCCTCTGACTGATCAAAATGATTCTGTTAGGCTGAACACAATTTCATCTTGTGTGCCAGAATAAATGTCATAAAGTAGCTTGCATTCGGCTTTACATTGTAGCCCCAAGTAAAAACACAAATCAATAGTGTGCATCTAAACACCAAAGAACTGCTGCTGATGTGTACACACAGGAGGTTAAATTAGGTGCCATGAACCAGGATCACACACACACACACACACACACACACACACACACACACACACACACACACACACACACACACACACACACACACACACACACACACACACACACACACACACACACACACACAACACACACACACACACACACACACACACACACACACACACACACACACACACACACACACACACACACAGGGTGAATGGGTGACAGAAGGTCACATAGAGAGAAAACGATTTCATGGACAACCAGAAACACCCTGTAGCATCACAGGCAGGCAAAATTAATTAAGTCGTAATAATAGTGCACAGTATCTA